CAAAAAAAGATAATGTGATACTTTTTTTTCAGGAGAACAACTGACGTCAAAAATAAACAAAGCCTGCTCAGATTACACTCTTTACAGATAATTTGTCTCATAAAAAGAAATGTTCTGAACGCGTTTTGTTAAAATTTAAAAATAGTATGTTGATAAATATTCCTGTCGTAAAATGTCGTTTTTGAAAGGAAAAAAGTAAATACATGTACATATTGCCTTGTAACAGGACGTTATTTTCCTTCAGTTTACTATTTTCCTACATATAACATCCCTGAATAGCAACTATTATGATATATAAATATTCAATAGTTCAACTAACAGGTTTTGCCTGATTTTTACATGGGTATATAATAGAAAGAAAACAGAAATGACGACACTTTTAAGAAAATAACGAGAAAGGGAAAAACTAAGAGATACTGTATTTAGGAGAAAAAACATAATTTCAAATAAGGAATTAACCATTTCACAATTTCAAAGTCCTCTTTCTCTCTCACAGGACCGAATTGTTGGTCTTGAATACATTTACACTGTTTTTGAAACTGTTTTTTTTTTCTGACCAGTTTTAAGCGAACTCCAATTAATATTAATCCAAATCATTTCTACATTTTGATACGTCCCCCGCTTTGTTTAGTCAGCGTAGAGTTTGAGTGTCGATATAAGTGTCTGTATAGGCGACTTTCCGAACAGGTCACATAAGAACATCATCTATATTGCAAAACTTGAAATAAAAAACTGGACTCTACAGATTCATTATCATATTTAAAATAAAAGTGGTGGTTTTAGGCGGATACTCATATAGTTTATATATTTGTCTCATTGGCAATTATACCACATCTCCTTATTTTCATTAAGTCTAACTTATCAACATTATACAATAAATGGGAATTCTATATATAAGTGGGTGTACTGTTACACACAATAATCTCCTGTATGTTCTAATTGTGGTTTTTAGTTTGACCATATCTAGTCAGTATGGCGCCAACATGTGACTTCTGATTCAAGTCCTGTTTTTGTTTAAGCTTAATACTATCAGAGCTCCAGATCCACGGGCGTCCTGTGTGTAAGCGTCATTTAGAAGGTGTGTCAATATTGTATTAATCCATATTTTGATGATTTTGTATTTTGTATTAATGTTAAAAATGTGTCCTTTCAATAATTACTTGTACTGATTCATTGGTGCGTTACATAGTTCATCTAATCATTGTAACCACAAGATTAAGAACAAATTGAAGTATCCACATGATTGTTTGATGTCTATTCTTTGACGCGTTAAAGACCACCACGCTGAAGTAACTACAATACATTTAGTCGTTAAGTTAACATGCATGTATATCCTTGAAGTTATAACCAATTATGTAGTAACAACTGATGTGCACGAATATTCTGTTCTCATGACCGAGGTCATTCTTACATTATCAAAATGTCTATTTTGAGAGGGAAAAAATGCTACAACTTCCATGTTATTTGTCTTCATTTACGAATGATGGTTGAAAAGCAATAAGTTAAATGACAAAATTACAGACATTTAGTGTCTATCACTCAATTTTTGAAATGCGATTTACTGTTAATGGCGTTTGAATTTGACAAAAATAGGTAATCCCTAAATGTCGTCGTTTTGGTTTTAATGTGTGTATTATGGAATTAGGCGAAGCGGGCACACTGCATTATTACGATAGCTTGAGTTAATGCATTTAGTAAATGATCAATGTCTTTTTCTTAATCGTGCACCATCTCGATGGTCTCGTGATCGTAGGTTCAATGTCTGGTCGGGTCAAACAAAAGATTTCATAGTTAAAATCCTGAACGACATGTCGGTTTTGTACAAAGCAGGCTACAACTTAAATGTGTTACTCTTAGAAAATCTATCTGTATGGTCAAATACAACACTTTTATAGATATTTAGCCTTCAAAATGAAAATAACACTTTATAAATGTGTTGCGTACGAGGCGCTTGTAAACGCTCAAAACTAAAAATTTGAAAGCCACAAGGACGAATAAATACACGAAGAGCTACTGGATCAAAAGTTTCCTAAAGAATATAGCCAAAATCAAATAAGGTCGACTTTGCCTGTGGAAAATTGTAGATGCTTGTGTTGTAAGTCTTGTCAGTGGCGAAGCAAAGGATACCCTCGGGGACGAACTGTCCACTTACAGTGATGTCGACCCAGTGCGAGAAAATGAAAATACATGATGCACATTATAAATTTGGTGCGCTTTTCGGGGTTGATATAGTGATGATAGTAGAGTTAATTTACATGACAATTTGAAAAGTTACATTTCAAATAATTTTCAGAATTTTCATTTTTTCAATGATGATAATTTATAAAGATAAGAATTTGCATGTTTAGAATTTAGAAGTAAACAACGGGTGTTAATTTTAGTAGCAGTCAAAATTCAGATTTGTAATTAATTGTTTATTTCACATGTTATTGACCACTACTCCAGACATTAAGAATTCTAATATAGTAATTCTTGGTATCTATCAAATTCAAAATTTCCATTTGGTATTTAAACGGTCAAGGGTTTGATACTAAAGATAAATTTAGAATATTAAGTAATAAGTTAAAGGTCAGTGAAATTAATTATAAAGCTATGTCTAATTTTTAAGACAGTTTTAGAATGACACTTGCCATGTGAACATCTCTATCTGGAATTCTATATATTTTATAATGTACCTTATAAACAAGTGATGCCTGTTTAATAAACAATCATAGTTTTAAATGGAGTACCTTATTATTGTGAGCTAGTGGACCAAAAGAAGTCCCCCCCCCCCCGTATTTAATAGATTCTTATGGGAGCAACACCTCACCTATCATCTGGTGACAACCCCGCTCCTACATTTACGTTCATCAGGAACGCTCGTACAGCAAGTTTTCAGTTATGCATTGGTGAAAATATTTTGTAAGGTTTGTTATATATTAAGACATTAGTTAATATTCAAAAGCAAAAATGTGTTGCTCAATTATTTCTTTGAACACAAAGCAAATATTTAAATATGTAGCTTATCTTCGGTTTCAATTCTTTTTAAAATGACAGCATCGTTGGAATTATATAAATCATTTATGTTATATTAATCGTAAATGAAAGGGTTAAATCATTCTTTCTTCCTATTTTGATAATCATTCCCCAGTTCAATACGCATAACCTTTGTCGAATTAAGTCGGCATCAAATGAAAATTATTAAAATACAGTAGCAAAAAAGCGCACTCCTTTTTATCATCGAGTGGGCTATAAATCTGAAAAAAAATACAAAATTGCTGAATTAGATAAAGATCTTTAAAAAACAAGGTCTAAACAGTTTCTAGAAGTATTTACATTTGTTATACCTTAGCAGGTGGTAAAACATTATTGAAATGGTTTTGTTCATATTGAATACTTTAAGTCAAATCGTTTTATTGGTACAATTAGGTACTCAGTTGATAAATGTCATCCGTGGAATTCTATGTTTTATTTACTTGAATAGGTCCAGTTAAACTGTCACTATTTAATAGATGAAACATGTATTCTTAGATGCAGCGAAGCAATTGATATACAATAAAGAATAATAACAATATTTATTTGGAATTCTTAAAAACCAGCAACATAATGTTTAGTATGATGATGATTGATGGCTATTTAACGTCCAGTGGCAAATTAAATGCATATTTAGGACGAGAACATGTTAGTGTGATATAAATATGAACCCTGCATTGTACTAGACCGACACTAACTCTGATTTTGAACGTGCTTGTTCACAAGGTAAAGTCCGCATGAAAACATGTCATCCTATTCAGATACATTATTCTGACTCTGGGCCGATTAGTCTTGGCTCTTCCTCATATATGACACTTGATTCGCAAATATCAATCTTTGATTTGACCAGACTGAGAACCAAACCCACGACCTCCCGCATTCGGGAACACTTAAACAAATCTTAACTTTATTTTTTATAACGAATTGTAAATTTAGCTCATATTATAGCTGTAGAAACACAATTCGCTAAATAAATAGAACCGAAATTGTCTTGGTTTTATGATATTAGTCGGACAAATTTGATCAAAAACTATCAACGCAAAAATTGAGAAGATGGCACTATGAACAAGTAACACTTTTACCTGAAAAAACCTAATGGACTGTCCAAATTATTTGTTAGTTTGCTAAACTTCCAATATTCGAACTTCTTACATACAACAAAGTACAGTACAGTACAATCGGAACGTCAGCATCTGATTAAGATCTTGCTTTCAACATAAATCAGTTATTTCTTGCTCTTTTTGTTTCATGCAGGGCCGCTTGTATTTCATACAGTTCATAATGGGAAATATTTAATCATTTAAATCGTTAACCATCACAAGTTGTTCCGCCTTCCTCGTGTAATGATCTTTTAATACTAGGATTATGATTGTGACGGTGTATTTCGTGGTCATTGTTAAAAGGCTTACGGAAATAAATAGATAATTCACTGCTATGTGTTCGTTCATTTGGAACAATTAAAATTTTCTTTTTAACTGTTTCATTCGCTTGACTTAAGTATGACCACGTAAAGTGTACAAATATAGGTATCTTTATGATCGGTATGTTACCCTATGGTAAAATGGCAGGTATATCGTTATAGCGTTTGAGATGTGTCCTTCGTGTTTACATGCTTGTTTGCACAATAAGAAATATTGTCTTATTTATGACCAACCCACTTGAAAAAGTTCTTCTCAAATACTCTGTGTGGTTTGTTGTTTATTTTTGTCTGAGTTTCCCATATCCTTCTTGTGATCAACTTATTTTGTGTGCAGATCGTCGACTTCTAAGAGGGACGTCATGTGCAGAGTATAAATCAAACCTAAGGGATGTTAATTGCCTGAGTAAAATGAAATCTTTGGTATGGAACACTGATTTTGTATACGAAAAGTATTTATCTCCCGTTTTACCAATTCAACATATTGACATCATTTAAAATGTTGAAAAGGCCATATGTACACTTATTGATTTTCAACATTTATGGAGATATTTATAACACAAACACTTGGTTAGTTTTGAATTTTTATATTACCCATAATAAAAATAAGTCGTCATTATTTATACAACACTGTATATACAATTGTAACATAAAATACTTTATCGGAGCGCTCAGCTTAAATACGTACAACAATCACACTCATTCAAATGCTTTGTGAGAAGATGTGAAAATAAACGCACTTTGAAATAAAAAAAAAAGTAATAAGAATATGATGAGTTAACTCAACAGGAAGATGATTTTTTTTAAACCGTGAACATAAAAAGAGTTGATAGAATGATAAATGTATGAAAAGTAACATTTCAGCGATTTCAAATGCATCAGGAGGTTTTAGTTTAATCAGCACCATAAATAATAACAATAAATTGCTGAACGCTATGACATTGCTTTTCGTGAAATATTTAAGGACTACAAATACAGTCCATTCTCTCATTCTTTTTCTTGCATCCATCGCATTCATGTTTTCGTACACTGATACACACACAGCAATAACATTTCATTCAAATAAATAAATATCACATTTAACAAATAAATAACAACCAAGTTCTCCTTTTGTCACCGACATCCACAACCTTCTACGACCATATCTTGATAAGCTTTTAGTACTACTTTGTCATGTTCATCAATGTATAACAATGAAATGGGTGATAGTTCTGTTGGTACACAACACGGTTTGGGAACAGACCGTGGATCTATAGAATGAACTAAGTCTTGCACTATTGCATGATTTGTTGCATTTAAATGATCGGCGTATGGCCAATGACATTCGCCGTCACAGAAAAAAGCGTTATATCCAGACGGTGCTACTATCCAGTCATTCCAACCCACTTTATCAAAATCTACATATAAAGGTTTTCTACTACATCCATTTTTAAATTTCTTCTTTTTATTTTTTCTATTTTTTCGTTTCTTTTTATTTTTCTTTTTATTTCTATTTTTATTTGATGCACGTTTAGTCCGGCTTTGTATTTGATCATTTGTATAGGTCACTAAAATAGGTCTTTGTGAATGCCACTCTGAATCTGATAATGATGTTGATCTCCGTAAACGCACATGTTTAAAATTTTGAAAGGACGGAGACAGTTTGCTGGAACTTATTCGCACTTCTATTCCATGGTTCTGTTTTGGTGTTTTACGCCATTTTAATACTGCTGGGTGAATGTCAAGGGAAACCCATGTTGCATTCTTAGTTTTTACGTGTTTGACATCTACAAGTCGCGTAACTGGATCAACATTTTTATTTCCTGGACTCATAATTTCATACACTTCTATTTTGTGTCTAAGTATTTTTCTTCTTGTAATATTATTAGCACTAATGTGTTTATCCAAAAATACTCTAAGTTCTGCTGCAGTTAACACTTCTTCTTCTGGTATATTAGAGATATTAAAATCCATCCTGACACAGCTGTCTTCATTACATGATCTTGAATCAGGTTTATCTACAAAAAGTATAAAAATGAATTAATCAAAAATCAAACTAAGATGTTTTGTGATATTTTTCTACAATAGTTTTTATTAAACTGTGTATTTTTTCTTCGTGTTTAATGGTACTGAAAAAGACTGTATAGGAATCTGGTATTTATGAGTTGGCGGATTTTAATTTCGACAAGATGAGATTGTTTAGTCTAAATTTTACCTCATTCAATGTATTTGTAGTAAGTTTATATCGGACTACTTACTATTCCAGTTATATACTCGAAGACTACATGCATATAGAATGAATTTTTAAGCATATATGTGTGTGTATTAAATTTGCTGGTTATGGTTGTTTTCTATAGATATATACATATAACACAATTAAAATAATATTTTTTACAACAATAGTCTTTATTAAACCAGACAGCTTTTTTTCTAAACGAATGGCCAAACCTTTGCTTTGTTATACCAAATGTTTACGTACTGGTGGAGTTTTATAGGAATCCAGTATTTTTTAATAAATTTCAATAGGGTAAGCCTTTAAGTCTAAATTTTAAATCATTTAAAGACTGCTTTTCCAAATATAAACTCAAAGACTATATATATACTGATGTATTTTACGTAAAAGAGTAAAATGTATTCATTTACTGAAAAAAATTGTGCGTTATTTGAGACAATGTTGGTTTTCTTCTCAATCACAGAAAAACCTACTAAGAACCATTTTTCACTATATTTTCCCAATCGAGTCCAATAAGTTCTAATTTATTTGAATGCATACCTGTGTGAACAAAGCTTCTGATCGTATTAGCACTGGCAGCTTTGCTGTTTGCAAACTGGAAATTGTTTGACGCTGAGATCTGTTGGTTATACAATTCTATCATATACTGAGGTATTATTATATCAGAACTTGGCTTTGGTCGGCTTTTTAGTCCAAAGATTTGTAGCAATTTTGATTCAAAATTCTGGATGATATTTTGTTTTTCCTTATCATTATAATTTGATAAGGCTTTGTCCAGTAACGAGTTTCCAGTATCTGTTGAATCAACTGTAACAATCCCTTTTACCAAAACGCAAGCAAGAAACAAAAAGGTCCAGAATCCGCAAATCATGATGAAATTGCCTGAAAAGAAGAAAGTACTAATTAGTTTCGGTTTCATATATAAGATAAGATATTTATTGGTGTAAAATCCAAACAATAGTATTGCTGCTATAAAACAAATGAAAAATAAACATATATAAATATATCTACCCGAACTAGAGTAAAATTCTGTTGATAAACTGGGTAAATTTTAAACCACCTATTTTGGACATATACGTACTTTAGCATGTTTAGTTAATAGTAACTAGTGTGACCGCCTACAATTACAAATGTCTATACCGCAAGTTTATTGCGTCTCGTAGGTGAATTCGTTATTCCAATAGTAAATGTCATAAAAAAAATCACGTTCCGACAATTAGTAGATTTTACGCTGAAAATTGTACCTCCTTTTATACTATTTTATTAACAATTTCGGATGAAATTTTATACAGTGTAAATATACTACATAAACGACATTTGCTCACGCAATAAGAAACACTGATATGTAGGGCATAAAGTGCACTATACTGTTAGCAATACATATTAAGAAATGCAAGTCACCCTTCTTTACATAGAAATACAGCTAGCATGTGCAATTTATTAAATAGACCAGAATGAATAATTTTTTTTTCCTTCTAAAAGTATGTCCATTTGAGTCGGAATTCTTATTTTATTTAGAAGAATAATGATGTTAGTTTTTAAGACATTTTTGTAATGCAAAGAAAACAAGGACCGTTTGACATTATGCTATCTATTTTCAAAATATTTTAAACACTTTATATATGTATACAGAATCACGTTCTATGCCACTCGAAAAGGAAATAAAACATATCATCAAACAAGGTGGCACAAGATAAAAATGTGTGGCATAAGATAAAAATGATCAATGAAACTCATAGTAAAATAAAGCTAAAAAAAAAAATCTACTCCAGTTTAGAATTTCTAAATTGCAAAGAAAGTTTTTCAAATTCCTATGAATCCAATAAATTTGATTATTTTAAAAGGGCAAAACGATCTTTATTGACTTAACTTTACTAAAGTTTTATCAGTCTATTATCAGACTGTAGAGTAGAAAGTCGTTTTAGCACCGATCCTCAAATCGACAATAAATGAGTTAAAGTATTACATTGTAATTTAGAAGAAAGATAACGTTGTTAACACTAAATCCTTTCATATCATTGTAAGCTTATCAATTATCACAAACATCACAATTACCAGCAAGTACAACTTCCAAACTTTATATGAAAAATCTAGGACCAATAGATTAAGGAAAAATACATTTATTAGAAAAATCAGTTAATCTGCACTTTAGAATATATTTTTCTCAAATCATCAGTTCTTCATGCAACTTAAACTGCATTGCTACCATTTCATAAAATAACGAATATAAAAAGAAACTTAACGCAATAGCATGGTTTTCCACGTTAACATAATTGATATATGTGTTCGGAGTAATTAATATGTGTCTTCTAAGCCTACAGGTGTGTAAACGACATCTAATTTTGATAGAATCAACATGTCTTTAAAAAGATGAATGAAAAAGATTCAATCAAGTTACCACGGAAGATTTCTTACACTGATAAAATGTGACACAACAAAGATGGAAAATATGTAGAAAATCAACAAGTTGTAGTTTTATTGGAAGGTAACTGATGGATTGGCCGTATGATTTATAACCTTAGGCATACTTGTACTATACAGTACAGACTCAAAATGAATGACGACAATGTTGGATTTTATTTTATTAGTAAAAATTTATCATTCATAAAGTATGTTTGATTTTTTGTCAATTTTTTTTTTACAGACGAATGACATCACTTACAAGTTATGGTTGGCATTTTATTATTATAGACGACAATGAAATATAAAACACGAAAAAATTTAAAACTCTTATTTCTTTGTCGTGGTTCCGGATAAAGAGGATTTCCAATCGTATTACCAACGAAGTATTATTATTTTGGAATATGTTGACATAAAAAAATCACAGAGGCGTTTTCAAAAAAGGCATATTTAAAATATTTTATGTTATGCTATTCCGCTAGTACAGAATCAAATATTTTACGAGTTCATCAATCAATTTTGATATAAAGTAGTAAAGATCCGATTAAATGCGCTATTTTGTTAAGGCAAATCCTTAAGATTTCTAAAGGAAATGATATTGATGTGTAAACCACAGGTGCCAGGCATTTAAAAATGCAAACAATACAGCCTTTTATAACTAGATCCTTAATTTTCCTTTCATCACTGAAAATAAATATACAAGAATATTAAATCCATTTATCAGATGGTGTAGTTTGCATAGTTTACATTAAACCTACTGCTTCGTTCATTTTACGGTTATAGCTTTACTATATAGATATTTAAGTACCCGACTGCGTTAAGTATAACCCTCATTCCAATGGACAATGTCCTTATACTTACACATCCAATGAATTGGAAGACGTGTTGTCCGTCCATTGGTATGTAGTAATAAATATCCACATACACTAGCATAGCTCACATTGTTTTAAATAAGTATCCTGAGAAATTAACTCCTCCGCTAACTAGCTACTTAATAAACAATTTTGAACCTATGTTCTCGCATAATCCATTGTTATATATTAAGATGTCTAATCCAAATACTGATAAGAAAACAATTTAGAAAATTATTAATCGATGTTCACTATTTTTGCACCAAAAATATCATAATTTCCTATAAATATCAAATTCTTCTTTTATTACGAACTCAAATACACCATTTAAATCACATTCACAAACTTAAGTTCCGATATGTACAATAGTCATTGATTTACATGTTATAACGGATTTAGAAAAAATACTTTTTTAATCACACTTATTCAACACAGCAGAACACAACTAAATCTGATTGGCAAGTGGGGGAGGTTACCTTTAGTGTACTACAGAATAGCGGCGCTTGCGCAAAAATATGACAGTCATTTTTAAAGTTGTGACGTCATGTACAGGTAACCTACTTAGTGGAAACAATATAATTCAGTTTTCTTTTCGTAATTACAAAATATGCTTTTCCTTAAAAGCTCCAAAAGTAAGCTCATCGCTAAATCAGGGAAGTTTATATGAACAGACAGGTTTACATATACAATTAAAAATCGCCGGTTCATTCATAAAATACATTTGCATGCAGCAATGATACTACGTGTTTTCAGATTTCACTTTTAAATGCCTTCACATTAAATAGATTGTATTTCAAAGACGTTTCAAGGGTTCTTTTAAAAAGATTATATTTCCACTCAATTGGTTAATCGCTAAAAATTTTGTATTCGTTTACTTTAAAGTTGTGTCGAATTAAATTTTTGTCGTTCAATTTGTTACCATATCTATATTTGGAAGACCATTCGTAATATTACAAAGTTAAATATATACCTAATGTTTTTCTAAACTGTCTTCAATTTCTCGACTATTTAGGATATTTTCAGCACTATGGAGGTTATTGTAAAAGAATAATTGTAATATTTTAATAATTTGATGTTGAGAGTATTTTATACTTTATTATTGTTGTTACTAGTTTGACATGTCTTTTGCCCGTGCTCATTCTCTAGCTCGCTCCATAACTGTACACATATTTTGGTAGTTTATCAAATCATAATTACCGGGTTACCTTAGATTATAATCTAATTTACCTGTAGATTATAGCTAATTGAAAAGATAAGTACTGTGTTATTGTTTGTTATTACGAGTTATGCTCATAATTCTCAGTTAAGGAGTGGGTATACAGATGTTGTTAGGGCGGGCTATCTGTTTTATCAAAACAACTTGATTGAACCATTCTAAAAAAAAATCTTATTAAAGTTTAATTTAATGAAGGGTTGACCATCTGTTTTGTAATTACTACTCAATGAATCTCATAGACTGGAAGATAATTATAGAAAAAGGTGTTGATTGTAAATAAATAAAGTTCATTCATTTGTTTAATTACCTGTTTTGTCGTTCTTTTGTAAATTTTATCTTATGACAATAACAGAATTTTTAACATTTTTGCGTAGTAATGATAACATCGAGAATGAAAGTCGTTTAAAATTTCCCGAATGGTAAAATCAATAAATGACATTGACTCCCAACCCGCTAAAAAAGTGTTTCATTATTATAGTTGCTTGTATTATTATATACCCAACAACAAGGCAAGTATAAAGACAGAAAATTACGGGTGATTTGTTAAAAGTTTCTTGAATACTGCTGCCGTTATGTTGACATTTTATTTCCTCACAAAATTACTTGTCTTACCATAAAGTTAAAAACAAACAGAAAGGAGAAAAGTCATTTTTACCCATACCGTTTTCGAAGAAACTTGCATTATCAAACTAGAATACTAGGCGTTTACAAATCATAATAAATTGTGTATGAAAAAAATATGTATGATCAAAGATAACTATGACCAGCGCCACCTCTAACGCATAATTTTGACCTTTAAAAATTGATCTTTTTATTCATTTGACAATAGAGTACAATTGACAACCTTGTCAATATTCATACCAAAAAGAAGCCATTGTGATACTTAACGCTAAATATTTATCGGCTAGAAAGTTAGATGGTTGTCCAATGTGCTGATAGGTAGTGCGGCATGCATATAATTGTTTATAGTTGACTACATATTTTAGCTTTGATTCCTTGCCCAGGTTTGGCTTTACTTTTTGTCATTTTTTTGTTTTATCAGCTCTTCAACTTTTGTAGTAGATTTTTTGACTTTCAAATGTTGTGGCCTCGAGCATCACTGAAGAGACATCAATTGTTGAAATACGCATCTGATGCAGAAAAATTGGTACCGTTTATGTTATGACCATTCTGATTATACTTTTACCTTGAAAATTACAATTTGTCTGTTGAAACAAAGCTACAGCATCAACATTTTATAACACTCGTCTTCATGTAGATCCAAATTTCCGATTTTGACAGCGTCAAAACATATTGAATGCCACAAATTAAAAAAGACACATAACACAGTATTTTGTCCGCATAACGGAAGATGACAAATTGGTCGGTTTTTACCAGATTTGTGGAAACGAAATTTTGCATTGCAGGGTACTGCTTCGTAAGAGTAATGATCGTATACGTTTAACCATAGATATAATAGCCATTATATCTATGGTTTAACAAAACTAAGTAGTACTCTTAAACATAAAAAGTACGCAATAACTAAATTTGCATTTGGGAACTTACAAACATGTATAAAAGGTTAATTATACATACTTGTTTTGAGGATTTGTTTGACGTTTAGTTTAGCCTAGATTGGTTCCTGTATTATTTAATTTCCTTTTGAACTTCATTCATGTTTATTGATTAAAAGTGCATGTAAGTGGAATATTATGACACACAACACTTAATTTAGTAACGATAGAATAAAAGGCCCACTTTTAACAACAGTGGCAAGATAACATCAAATTATAATCATCTTCTCTGAAAAGTTGGTATAAAAACTTGATTGTTGTACTTGAGTTCGACAAACGTGTAACGCCTCCTGTAAGTACAAAAACAGAAAATAATTCCACCCATGTCATTTAATTGAAAAGCTACCAATTTGTTCCTTTTAGTATATACATACAAAATTATTGAAACCAGGTGTTTGACAATGTTAAAATGGTAAGGTATTACTTATTTGTGAAAACAATCCATGGGAATGCGTTTGTGACAAGGCAACACAGAAAAAAGACTGACGGGTACCGCCTCCTTGTAGAAAATAGGTCGTACACCTGCGCTACTGTTCTGTTAATGGCCATTTAAGTTTGATAAACTGGTCCTTGGTGTTCGTGTCAAAGAGGAGTTTTAAGTCAAATTTCTATAGTACAATCAATATGTTTTCCATTTGTTTTAAAGACTTCAATTGACAAAGTAGCAAACAAAGAGCACTTCTAAACAACATCTGTACAGTATGGGTAAGATTGCAGTTGATTGGTATTGGTTTTAATTTGTTTATCCTTACGTAAAATTTTGAGGGACCGGGCTATACATATGATGAGCTATGTCCATTTTAAAATAAAATATTGGAAAGATGTAGTAAAGATTTAACTTCACTTAATTTCCATATCAATTGTCTGTCCGAACACGTGTTTTGAAAGTGTTTGATGTCACAAGCTGTAAAAAATGATTTCAACAATTACCATTTGAATGCAAAGGTTAATTCAATTCAATATTTTATTGCCATTCAACACTATACTAAGGTTTGATAATATAATATAAGATTTTTTGTTAGTATAAAATATTATAACAAGTTTATTAGTATAAAGTATTATAACAAGGTTTGTGACAAACAATCAAATAAATATGATAGATAAAATAAAATAATACCACCATGTGAACAATAATTAATATCATAGCAGCACTAAGTTGATGAGAATATTATTGCTGACGGACCTTATTACGGCAATTATTAAACCAGTTACGACTAAATAATTGTTCATAAACTTTCCACACTGACAGTAAAAATATTGAATTGAAACTATTTCATTTTTTACTTGCATGTGAGTAAAATAAATTATATTAACATTTTGTTTTACTTTATTAAGAGTACGAGGCATAGCTCTTCTCGTATTCTAAAGAAATTTATATTTTTTATCGGTGATAATTGATAGCATAACTTGTAAATTTGACAGGTTAATAATACTTTTTTTGACATGGACATAATTTATTGATTTGCGGACAGGTCATTGTTTTGTATGGTCATCTGTTTTCATTAAGAAAAGGACAAACACGTCTGTCATAATTTGTAAACAATTATTATTAATTGTTTGTAAGTAATAATATGTTGCCACACCAGAAAACAAAGGAATGTTCGTATCAATTTTTCATTTGGACTGATTTTTCTTTTAGTATATTTGCCAAACTTTGCGATATTTTATGAATAAAAAATCTTCACTGGTAAACAAAATCTTTCAAAACCCGACAACAAGTCCGCTAAGTATTAACGAAAACGTCGTGAATAAGTTCCCTGGTAAGTACGTGTTTAAATGGCAACGATGTGCTCTTTTAACCAAAGTATGACAAAGTGGATTCACTAATAACTGGTCTCCCACAGATACTGTTGCTTGTACGTTGTATTTAATAGCCATTCATGACTTTCCATTAATTGTATATCAACTGATTTGAATTATTTTGGACTGGGTTTTTTTTCATTGGTAGAGGGGTTTATATTTTTTTGTATGAACATGAGAAGCACGTCAAAAGACTCGGTATTAATTCATTGTGGTAAAACCCGAACCCTACCGCGGCTGTTTAGTCACGAGGCATAACTTTTATATATGGATGCAACGTTTCCACAGTTCATAGGCATGGATTCGTAAAGAAACAAAAACAATCGATGTAAACAATTCAAGGGAAAGTACGAAAAACAAATCATAAAACATGTTTTGTACAATCCCTGCATTTTTTATAATTTTTTTATTCATAAATAGGAGCATTATTGGGCTGTTAGGCTTTCAGGGTTGGTACATATATTTTACATAAACAATATAAAAAATATTTGAATTAACGACTTTGCTGGTTTAATTTTTTGTAAATGATATTACAAAATATTAAACAATGACCCCGTTCACATGCACACATTTGCAATGAGAGTAAATTTGCATGAGCGAACCCTTTTATGCAAAAGCTATGATTGCACAAATGCAATTTTGCACTGTGAATATTACACTGCGTGTATTTTGTGCATATAAACGCAATAAATAATTAAAAACCAATTGTTCAAAGAACAATTGAAGGTCTTTCCATATCAATTTTCTAAATAATTGATGAGAAGCTAATTCTGGTTTACTCAAAGCTACTATTGGCGTCCAATCATAGGTTTCTTCATACTGATTCAATAAACATGGTTTCTATAGACTTTTGCCTGAAATAAGGGAGATAATTGTCAACATCCGGTTTAGAA